TAAGAATGTAAGATTGATCAAACAGCCAAAGACAGTAACAAGTAATAAAAAAAATGCGGGCACTTTTCTTTGCAGCACTTTAACCTATTATCATGTTCATCCACACCCTCTCGTTCAGCTTCACAGCCCCTGCAGGAGAGGTGTGCGTCCATGGGAAAACGAAGGCTCAGGACTGGCCAGCCTGACCACACAGCCAGTGCCGAACTCGTCGGCGTCCCTGAGTAACAGCTGCAACAGACAGCACCGCTCGGGGTGTTTAAACATCCAAGCTTTCTCCAGTTAAAGGCAATTTAGTGCTGTAAAAATTTTTGAAGCCACGCACGGTGGTGCATGCCTATAATCCCAGAACTCAAGAGGCTGAGGCTGGGGGAACACTGCAAGCTCAAGGCCAGACTGAACTACACAGCAAGATCCTCTCTTAAAACAAACAAATAAACAAAAAACATTTCCATTCTTACCCTAGAATACTTCTGCCCAGTGTTTTCCTACACTTCCTGTAATGGTTAATGCTAGCCTGCCAAAGAGGTCCACATTCCAGAGCCTATGAACTCAATCTCAGCTAGAACAAGGGTCCTTGGTTTTTATTTTTTGAGACGGGGTTCCACTATGTAGACCAGGCTGACCTTGAACTCACTATGTAGCCCAGGCTGGTCTTGAACTCATGGTGATCCTCCTGCCTCAGCCTCCCAGGCGCTGGGATTACAGGCATGCAGCAAGAGCAGCAGTCTTTGCGGAGGTAACTAAATGAAGGGTCTTGACATGAGATCACCCAGGTTAGCCAGGTGGGCCCTCAATCCACGGACAAGTGTCCTCATCACAGACAGAGGAAGACACCCAGAGGAAGGGGAGGGGGCTGCGCAGAGAAGGAGCCAGAGACCGGCTTAAAGCGCCCTTGGGCCAAGGAGCACCTGGGTCCCAGAAGCTGGAAGAGGCAGGCAGAGGGAGTGTGGCCCACGGACTTCTGGCCTCCAGAACTGTGAGAGACAAGCCCGGCATGGTAGCACACACCTGTAATCCCAGCACTTGGGAGGCTGAGGCAGAAGGATTGTCACGAGTTCGAGGCCAGCCTCAGCTACGAAGTGAGCTCAAGGCCAGCCTGAACTGCATAGCGAGACCCTGCCTCAAAAAAGACCAAAAAAAAAACCCCAGAACCGAGAGAGACTAAAGATCTGTTATCCTAAGCCACTGAGAGTGTGGCAACTTCTCACAGCAGCCTTAGGACACGACTATCTGTCCTTTTCACAGGCAGAGGCAGCCCTGGTGGGTATAAATTTTTCCTTCCTATCTTTCGCCTACCTCATATTATAACCATCTTTCTATATTACTGTTATTTGCTTGGGCTGGGAATTTAGCTCAGCGGCAAAAGCGCCTGCCTGGCATGCGCAAGGTCGTGAGTTCGGTTCCCGGTACCGGAGAAAAACCAACTATATTACTGTTATTTGCGAGAGGGGTTGTGAGTCAGGGTCTTGCTGTGTAGCCCAGGCTGGCTTTGAACTCACGGCGATCTTCCCGCCTCAGCTTCCCAAATGCACCACCACACCCAGCAAGGCTGGGTTTCTAGGCGGCTTTCAGTTGGGTTTGCAGTGCATCTTCCTTGGGCACGCAGCCTTCCGCGTGCTTTCGCAGGATACCCTTCCACTCTGACGCTCAGGCGCGGGGCGGGGCGGGGCGGGGCGGGGCACTCACCTGCGCGCTCTGCTTCCTGGCTCGCACCTCCTCCAGCGCACGGGACGCCCCGCTGATCTGCCCGTACAGGACACTGAGCTTCTGCCTCAGCTTGCTCTGTGGAGGAGGCAAACAGGGTTGAGAGGCGCTGCTGGGCTGGCCCAGCCCCCACCCAGACTACCCCTGAATCTTTCTCTCTGGCGCTTCGGACGCCCTGAGAATAAGTGAACGGCGCAGGCGTCGGTGCCCTGGACCGCAGGAAAGGCTGGCTTGTGTGGCAGCGACTCTGTTCACCACGGCTCAGGTCACAGCTGCTGAGATCAGCGCACGGAGGACAGCGAGGCGGCCGGCCACACCGGGACAGCTGTGATGGCAGATTCGGCCAGGGGGACAGCCCTCCCACTGCACAGCAGAAAATCAGCCAGAATCCTCCCGCAAAAAGACACAGGAGAAGGGGACCCACTCAGAGAATAGGCCCTGCCGATCCGGAAGGAGTCGCGGCACCCTTTATCAGCCTCAGGACGGCAGGGAGCAGAAATCACAGCCCCTGACTCATCTGGCCACCCTAGGGTGGGACCGACAAGTGCCGGGCGGAGGATGAGCCAGGCCACGGGGTGAAGCCCAGCTGCGAATCACCTCAGTTCCCGGGTTAAGCTAGTTCAGGCTCGCTTGGCTCCCAGCCACCTCCAGAGAAAAAGGGAAAACGTGAGGCAGGAAGTTAATATCATCCTTGGATTATTTCTACGAGATGTCCTGTCAAACCAGGCGAGGTAATCCCAGCACTCCGGGAGGCTGAGGCAGGAAGAGAAGTTCAAACAACCCAGCAACTTTGTGACACCCTGTCTCAAAATTTAAAAATAATAATAAAGGGGATCTGGGGATGTCGCTCAGTGTGGAAGTCCTGGATTCAATCCCCAGTAACTAACACACACACACACACACACACACACACACACACACACACAAATCACATCGGTATCTGAAGCTCCTGCATCCGAGCTCTGAGGAAACGCTGGGGCATAGAAATGGAAAGGGCAGCTAGTGGTTATAATGCGCTCACTGTGTGCCAGGTATGGGTCTAGTGCCCCACACATAAGAATTTATTTAAAACAACCCAAGTGCAGTGCTATGGGGTAGGAATCTTCCAACCTTTACAGAAACGAACACTGCAGCACAGAGCAATTCGGTGACTTGTACAAGACCGCAGTGCAGTTAACCGGCACAGCCAAGGTTCTAGTATTAAAATACCGTAACCCCAGCACTTGGGAGGCTGAGGCAGGAGGATTGCCAGGAGTTCGAGGCCAGCCTGGGTGGGATACATAGTGAGTTAAAAGCCAGCCTATAGCGAGACTCTGTCTCAAAAAATAAAAAAAATAAAATTATACACATGTGACCAAACTGAGCAGGCTAGACACTTCAAGGGAAAAAAGAAAAACAAAGACATTTCCTTTCTCTAAGCAGCTACCTCAACATGTTCTGACCTTTCCTTCCACTTTTCCACTCCACCAGAGATAATCAGGGCCGACCCTAACCTTGAATCTGGAGTTGACCAAGCCAGTGACAGTCATGTGTCAGGGCTGGAAGCAGAACTCAAGGCCACAGGTCCTTGATCTGGAAAGCCCAAGTCACTGACGATGTTTCAGACTGGATCTCTGTGAGGCTGCCCCTCTCTTTGGCTCGACCTAGGCTCTGCCAAAGGCCAAGCTCAGGCAGCTCTGGCCTCAGACAGAAGACCCTGGACAGCCAGCAGCTGGGAGCTGTGCACAGCACCCTGAGGCCTGTGTTTTGAAAGAGTTATCTGTCATTGAACAACCTGGGGACTTTGGCAACTCCAATGATCCCCTAGTCAAGGGTAAACAGCCTTTATCTTTTGGTGGTAGTGGTGGTACTGGAGATTGAACCCATGGCCGAGGCTCTGAGCTACATCCCTAGCCCTCTTTTTATTTTTTATTTTGAGACACAGCCTTGCTGAGTTGCCTAGGTAGGACTTGAATTTGTGATCCTCCTGCCTCAGCCTCCCAAACTGCTGCAATGACAGGCATATACCACTGCTCCAGGCAAGAACTGTTGAAGATCTGAGGATCATGTTGCAGAGGCCGAGGACCAAGCCAGGCTGGAGGTGCTACCCAGCTGGGGCTGGCGCTGGAACTAAAACCACGCATGGTGACACCCAGAGCTGCCTGCTGCAGAGGCTGCCAGGAAGCGGAGGCTGCCGGGCTGTGCAGGCCTCTCTTGAACCTGTGGATAAGAACCTCCCTAAGTGTCTCTGCTGAAGCCCAGATGCCAGGAGCTCAACACCTGAGGCAAAGGCCATCCAGGCACCCAGAGCAGGGAGTGCCCCGCACCTCCACCCTGCGCTTGTCCTCCTGTCCCCAGGCCTGAGCAAGAGAAACCTTCCTGGTGAGCTGCTTCCCCCCTCCCCAGCCCTTTCTAATTTTTTACTTTGAGACAAGAGTCTCACTATGTTGCTAACTTGCTCCAGCTGGGTTTGAACCTGCTGTCCTCCTGCCTCAGCTTCCCAAAGGGCTAGAGTTACAGGAATATCCCTACATGCCCAGCAGTATTCTCTTTGTATCACCTCCCAACGTGGGAGCCAAGTCAAGATTCAGGCCCCCTCTGGCTGAAGCCCTTGTAAAGACCTGGATCCTGCCCATGAAGCACTTCCTCAGCACAGCGAATCTCCCCCTGGAGGTGGAGCCCGGAATAAGGAAGTGTGGGCTGAGACTGCAAGGACACAGCCAAACGCCTTCCTCAAGGAGGAAAGTAGGGACGCGGGTCTCAAAGGCTGGGCTGGTCTTCTCCTGGAGCCGGCGGTGAAGATAGGGTGAATGTTTAAATTTTCATAAAACGCAGTACAACACACATTGCTATGAGTCCCCTGAAGACACACCCCTTCACTTCCACACACACGTCCCCTCATGCTTGCCACTTTCCGAAGCAGTTCTGGAGCCCTTTTGTGATGGTCTTCCGCTGTGCAGTCCCGGGTGCCTTGATGTCCTGAGTCCTTTCAGAATGTTTACCTTTCCCGGTTCTTTTGACTTTGGGGAAGGGCCAAAGTAGAAAAGTGCCAGATTGGGAAAGTAAGTCGGATAAGGACACACTACAACGGTCATGTTTTACAAGTCTGCCTTTCTGTTCGATCACATTCAGCAGCAGCATTCACTGCATTTTGATCACACCTCATGAAGACACTTGAGAAAGAGGACTTCCAGAACTGCTTCAGAAAGTGGCAATACGATGGGTAAGTGTGTCTGGGGTGGGGTGGAGTCTGAGGAGGATGAAAGCAATGTGTCTTTTGCCGTAATAAAATTTTTATTTTATTTTATTTTTTTATTTATTGGTCTTTTGGAGACAGGGTCTCGCTATGCAGTTCAGGCTGGCCTTGAGCTCATTTTGTAGCCTAGGCTGGCCTTGAACTCGCAACAATCCTCTTGCCTCAGCCTCCCAAGTGTTATGACTACAGGCGCACGCCACCATGCCCAGCTTCTTGTGATAAAAATTTTAAACATTCATGTATTCACCACATATTTAATCACATTGTGTATGCCCAAGTTGTGACCACAGAGCTCGGAGGACTTGCCCTGAGGTCCGGTTGCTGAGACCCAGGGAAAAACTCTTGAGGAGCCCAGCTCAGACCCACAGAGGCAGGTAGGGCTGGACAGGGCCCTGGCAGAGGGAGCAAGGTCTGCACCCCAGTACCGGCGCCACCGCCCTCCTCTCTGACCTCGCCCAAGCTTAAGTCTCTTGTGACAACACTAGGCCAGACTTTGCTCTCCCGCAGTGCCCGCTTTCGGGCTTAGACGGAAGGAATAATAAGAGGTCAGCTACACCTTTTCAGCCTCTGCTTTGAATCCACAGGGAAAGTACGTACCCCCCAAACCACTACAAACGTCCACAGACCTTCGAGACCCTTAGGACTCCACTTAGTCTTCCTCCTCCCCCCACCAACTCCGACCCAGGTCCCGGGGCCAAATCCTGGACCCAAAGTCACATACCAGGATGAGGACACTGTGGTGCAAGAGAGCAGTTCTCCCTGGGCTCATATCCGGGTATTGCTGGGCTCTTCCTGCCCTCCCTGACCACCAGAACTGTCCAGCTCCACAAAGCCTTTTCTCAGAAGGGCCCATGCTCTGGACTCTCCAGAGCTGGCTAGGAGTCAGCTCCCTGGGGAGAAACTGCAGTTTCTGGGTCCCAGAGTCCCCCTGGCCATTTACTGCATTCGCCCTGCTACAGTAGCCTCTCTGAACCTCAGTTTCCCTGAGCTGTGGCACGGAACTCATACCAACCTCCTGTGCGGCACCAGGATTTAAGGAGGACACAGAAGAAACCTCCTGGGCTCACGTCTGACACTGAAGACTGGCTACTAAACACCATCGGACAAGCACAGGCCTGGGGCACGCAACTTTACCTGCGCCCTACAAAATGGGCGTGTGCGGAGCAGGCAATGGATGGGGGTAGGGTTGCATAACCTCGCAGCTCCTTCTGCTGCCTTTGGGATGCCCATCCCCTGCGCACCGGGTGCCCCCGCCCAGCCCAGCCCCTCGCCCCTGAGTGGCCTGGAAGCGGCAGATCTCAGGCCCAGCGAGCCCATGGGCAAGCCCTTCTCCCCAGAGGATCCCACGCTGGCCCCAAGGGGCAACCCAGCGGGTCCAGGGGCCCCTCCGTGCGCCCTCCCTGCCCTGGCCTACCTCCAGGTCGGCGCTGGCCAGTTTCAGGGGCGTGGGCGAGCAGACCTTGTGCTCCACCAGGCAGACGTGGCAGATGCACTCGCTGTGCTCGGGGCAGAAGAACTCCCGCAGACGGTTGTGCTGGGGGCACTTGCGGCGCTGCAGGTCGCTGACCGGGGCCTGCAGCGAGTGGTCCAGGAACGCCGGGCTCTCCAGGTGCGGCCGCAGGTGCTCCTGGCAGAAGGAGGCCATGCACACCAGGCAGGTCTTCACGGCCACCTGCTTCCGGCAGTGGTCGCAGGACACCTGCGCGGAGGGGCTGGGGGCCGGGGAGCGGGCGGGCGGCGTCCAGTCATCGGCGGGCGCCTGCGCCTGCTCGGCCTGCTGGAACTGCTCCACCACGGCGCACAGCACCGTGTTCTTGCGCAGCAGCGGGCGCGTGGTGTAGACGGTGCGGCACTGAGGACACTGGTACGGCGCGCCCTGGACGGCCCAGGTCTCGTCCAGGCACGACATGCAGAAGTTGTGGCCGCACGGGGTGGTGACCGGCTCCTTGAAGAGCTCCAGGCAGATGCAGCACGACAGCTCGTCGGCCAGCGGGCACAGCTCGGCCATGGCGCCGGCGGACCCCGACGGGACGCGCGAGCAGCGGCGGAGCGACGGCGACGGCCACCGCGACCTCCCC